GCTTTTTCAGATAATCCCGTAAGTACATCACCACTGGCCTTACGTATGTGCACGTAGTTAAACGTCTGAACGTGTAGAAGGTGACACCCATGACCGTTTCATATTACTTCACGCTAAGCGTTGATGGATATACACCAACTGACCAGTTTGAAGAGTTGCAACGTCCGCATCACCTCGGAACTTTGATATCATCAAATCCCATTCGTGATTTTTTGAAGTTTTTTTTAAGTCTCGTCGACCGTGACGCTCGACCACCAGATCACTTACATCAAAACGAAAATCGAAATCTTAACGCGAAGATGGTGCTCGTGACAATGTTTTTGCTTTTGCGAGCTTGCGAATGCACAAGTCATGTCACGACACTCAGCGACTGACGTGAGGTTCGGGAATTTCGTCTGAAACCGCCGCAACTTGTCACCAACCACGGAACGCGATGCATCACAAAAGCAGCTGCCAAGAGTGTCATGTGGTCAGAGAGAAGAGGGGGACGGAGAGTGCCACGGCGTGCACTAGCCTGTCAGCACCCGGCCAAGGGAGGGGGGGGGGGGGTTGAGCCTCGGCGTCGGTGTGAGCGGGGACGGCGGCACCGGCAGCGGAAATGGCGCGGGCGGCGGCGGCGCCACATGACGAATAAGTCACGCGCGATTAGAGGGCACAACATCGTACGACACACGATCATGTAACAAAAAGAAGTCAGCGAAGATTGTGAGAAAAAAAAGCTATGGGGGAAGGATGTCATGACAAATATACGGTGCGAGGGATTGTGCGCGAGAGACCTTGCGGGATAAAGTTGTCATGACAAAATGATCACACATGCAGCTCGTACTGTAGAAGATACCGAGAAAAACTCGATGCGCAAAGATGCACGAAGAAACACAGAATTTGAGAGCAATCGTTATGATAAACGTAGCTGTGGAGGAAATACTTCACAGCAAATCATCGCACATCTGTTAGTAGCGTGTGCTTAAGATCTTGTAAGTTGAAGGCCATCGCGATAGATGCCATGATATGGTAAAAGATGCTGTGGCAAAACATGGTGAAGGCTTAAGGCAGCAGAAATAAGGAATACTTCTGCAGCTGTAGTGAGCAACACCAAGGGGCGTACTTAAGATATATTATCATGCGATATTCTTTTCTTTGGTTACTAGAGATAGTTGAGACGTTTTTCCCTGCTTTGTTTATCCCGACTACCGACCAGCGCAGACGGGTGGCGGCCGGTAAGGCAGCCAGTAGAGCTGAGGCGGCCAGCAGCACGGCTCGTGCCGTGTGATGACCTATCGGTGCGGGGTCCGCCAGAGCGCCGCGGGACCCTCCAGAACGGTGTGAGCCCCGCCACAGCGCCGCAGGACTCGCCAGAGCACCGCGGGACCCGCCAGAGCGCCGCGGGACCCGCCAGAGCGGTGTGAGCCCCGTCACAACGCCGCGGGACCCATCAGAGCGCCGCGTGACCCGCAGAGCGCCGCGGGACCCGCCAGATCGGTGTGAGCCTCGCCAGAGCGCCGCAGGACTCGCCAGAGCGCCGCGGGACCCGCCACAGTTCCGCGGGGCCTGTCTGCCAGTCACGAGCTCAGCGGCCCCCGACTTCGGCCGGTGCCACCCCGGCCGGGCGTCGCTAACCGGCCACTTCGACCACAGATCACGGCTGGAGACGGCGGGTTTGATCCCCGTCCTCCGCCGACGGATATATCGGGGCTGAGTTCGCGCGATTTAGTCGGGCGTCCGGCCCCACATCCTCGGAAGAAGCTGCGCTGGCGACCATATTCTAAGACGTGGCAAAGGCCACCAGCGGTGCATGTAAACTTCGAGCGAATATCTTAGGCGGCACGGGCGCCTGTCTTGAAAGCGAATGCCTGCAGGTATATACCAGGTCAGCAAGACCGTGATGCACGAGTTGTTTGATTGCAAACAGGCGCATTCAGTTCCGTTGTCCATAAGTCATGTTGGGATGAATATCATTCTTACTCAGTAAAGTGAAACCTAGGATAGTCGGTACCATTACGGAGCTGGCATAAACATAGTTGCAACGTGTTTGTTGTAATGCTTCAAGGCCCTGCAATAAATGCAAATGTCACAAAATTACCGACCGCTGGTTTTTCAGTCCCACCTTGAAGTGGGTTTAGGGGTTAAGGATTGGGGTGGGTGGGTGGTGAGGCACGCAACGAGCTCCGCTACATCGTTTAAAATAGCTACAGAACTGCGCTAAGTATCCTTCTGACATTTTTCCTTAGCTTATCCCCATCATTTTCAAACTGCGCGCAAATCGTTTGGCCCAAAAAATCTCATGCCCTTGACCTGGTTAGTTCTAACTAAATAGAGTAGATAAAAAACGTTGTAGAATGTGATATTCTCTAGGAATGCGTTCTACTATGGTTGCACTTTTGGGTGGTAACTTCAGCAAATATTATTCTTTTGCCTTAATCTTCTGAATGCAACCGCATATGACCCCAGTTCTCTGATCAAAGTTACCTTTTCCGGTCTTGACAAGATACTCTCTTGTTCCCAAATGAACAGGCTATTCATTTTTGTCAGGTCTATGCAAACTATTCGGTTGCGCAAATTTTTGTTTTTCAGCTTGAAGCGACACATAATTTGTTGGTGCATTTTTTGCAACTTAAAAGACAAAAATAATGTCTGCTGACGACTAAATCTTCAGCGACCACACGACCTCACCGCGGCATATCAGCGGGGCTGCGGACCAAAGGCTAACGAGCTATATTTCAGCCTTGATTGGAATGCTTCATAACCCTCCATTACGCAAAAGCGTAGCAAAATATTCCGTATCATTTATAACGAAGCAATTAAGGCGCATTACTTACAGAAAAAAGGAAGGCCGCAAGTGGATGAAATTCGCAAAAATCTCGTGGCAAAAATGCGTTTTTCGGATAACGAACATCCCGCAAAAATTTCATTTCAAATGAGAAATTATAAATTATTGAAGACGGGTTTCACAACACTTATTTTGAGGCCCAAACCAACCACACGTTAATAACGGCACGGCCGATTTGTTGTTGGCGTAGCCCCGGCCGCCTCCCAGACAGTCCCGCGTACCAGAGCCGCCGCTCTTAGGCGTGCATCGCCGTAGCGGCTCCCGCGCTTTTGTGTCACGCCCTGGAGGAGGAGGTGCGAGCACACGCGTGGCGCGCCCCAGTCGGCCGTCCGCCGGAGCGGACTGGAGAAACAGATCAAATTTATGCAAAGCTCACCGAACGAAATTGTGGTAAGAATCCTCGTCAGGGTTTGCGCGGACTTTTAGGTACCAGCGCCACACACATCGCACCTTGCGAAAAGATGCGACGGCTGGAATAACACTTATGCTATGCACCGCAGAGGTAGGATGAAGACAGGTGAATTCGCCGTATATCGCGAAGCACAAGCGAACAGCAGGTACACGTGTCTGATGCATTGACATTTAAAATCAGAGTATCTACCACGCGCCAAAGAGTGAAGCGCACTGTGCAAGACCTACCGGGACTTAAAGGGAGTGTTCCAGATTGATATGGGGTTTGGAACTGAAATAGCCATCTTGATGATCGTTCGGTGTAGTTCACAGCCCTGACTTGGGAAGATGCCCTTGAAGAAGACGCGCAGATACTACGTGACCTAAACCCTTGTTGTTCCTGAGCTACACACCAGCGAAGATGTACATACTATTTAGGGAAGACTATTTCACCGCCACTCAGGCGTTCGTAACGCCAAAGTAACGGCATTTACACCCTGCGATCGATATTACACCCTTGATCGAGGCTGCTACAAACATAATTGTCGAGTCGTTTGTATCTGGCGTTCGCGAGCACGACTTCCAAATACAACGGCCGTCAATCGGTTCCCAATCAACGCTGTCAAGGTACGATGGCGTAATCAAACATTGGCGTATTGAAGAGCATATTAACTTAACACGGAAACCATGATGTCTGGGGCAGTGTTTTGCGCTTAAATGTATACCAGTGCTTATGAGTGAGCTTATTTCGTCATATCTGTTGTTTGATTCAATATCTTCAAATGCAGAACATTCCCTTCAAGCGAGCGAGCACTGCACATTCTTCGGGATTTTGTATCAAATTTGACTAATGGTAGCATATGAGGCAAATTCAAATTGCCAACTTCTGCGCGATACCAGAGCAGCATATTATGTGGTGCAAGCTCCCTATCTTATGACAATAATGCTACTAACGCTGAGATGGCAAAGCAGCTTGCTGTTTCAAAACCTCGCCTCGCACGCAAAAATGGAAAAACATGCTAAATCGAAATATTGTACGTCTCATGATTCCTAGCGCTTCTCTAAACTCGTCGCAGCTCCTTCGGAAAAAATACACCGTGAGAAACTGGTTTTGTCGTTGATCTTTAGCAAAATGCTTTTTAGTTGGCCTCATCGCCGACGACCAGGACCGCTGTAGTTAGGCGCTCGTGGGTTTTCTGCGATACCACAGGTGTAAGATTGACCCGTCATACGGACATGCAAGCCTATGTACGTCTGACAGTTGAAATAAATACGGCAATTATTCGAGAAGAGTTTCCGCCACGGTCACATCCAATGTAACTCGATCACAGCAAAGCACGAGCGTGATAAAGCGACGCCACTCAAGCCACAGAATCAGTAATTCTGATTCTGCAAAAAGGGAAGACATGGCAGATACTACAGACAAAGACAATCTTATGTAGATAAGTTCGTTTGTCAAGCGTCAAGCCGGTTTGGCGTTTGGAGTCTCCCTGGCGGAAGAGTAGTAATTCCAGGATTCACACTCATGAGCGGTTGCTTATTACCTGGCTGCGGCAACGACGCTTTTCCGAAGAAATCAATGCAAGCGCATGCATTCATTAGAGGCCGCTGTTAAAAGAAAACAAAGATGCGATAGCTACGTTATAAAGCGCCATGCGGACGGTATGAATGCGCTGAACGACACGGAGCATGATTAGACGAATGGCATTGGCTCGCGCGCCCCATGCTTCAGTTGACGCCAGGTGCGGACCTGCCAGAGTCCACACAGCGAAGACGCACTTACCGCCGAAGCCGGGCCGGATGCGTCTGTCGTACTTGGTCTCGCTCATCAGGTCATTGAGGGTGCGGGAGACGTTGGCGCCCGTGTCGTGCTGGCGCGGCGGGCTCGGACCGCAGCCCACTGACGTCAGCCGCAGTGCCGCCAGCGCCGCCAGCAGCGCCGCCCTCAGCGTCATCGGGCCCCGTGCGCCCTGCTGCCATGCAGGCCAGCCGTCGGCTCCCGCGTGCCGGCGGCGACGGCAGCAGCCCCCACCTCGGCACTGGCGGCCGGCGCCGCAGCAGCGCCGCACCGGTGACACCTAGTGGCAGACGGCGGTACTGACGAGAGACTGGAAAGCGCGATCGTGGCGGCTGGCCGGGCGAACAGGAGGTACCAGAGCAATCACTTAACCGTAATTATGCCGCTGAGCACCGAAGCGGCGTTGTGATGGACGACTCTTGCTTCGATTTGTCTCGGTCTTTTCGCTATTATAGCGGCCAGAAGATTGGAGCGATGCAGAGCGAAAACAATGCTGCCAGACGAGAGCTATCCGAGACGAGGCGATGGCGCTGCTCAACAAGTTGCTGTAAGCAACGCTGCTCAGCCAAACTGGCGTGCCGTTGCATGTACGGATTCTTGCATGTGCGGTGTTCAGAGACCTCGTGTGTAATTAACACCACGCTCGTAAAGTACGTGGAAAGGAAATTAACTAGCGATCCTCACACGCATCGATCGCGACATGCCGGGATCGATCGGCCATCGTGCCCAGGATCGCTTATGCAATGGCCACGTTAGGGCCGCGGAGGTGCCAAATCGCCGATCGCTCCCGGACTTTGCTGCAATGCATGCCCATCAGGCGGAGTTCCATGTTACTGCGTTTCTAGTTAAGCCAAACAGTAATTGCTGCCTTCAAAGATTAACGTGCTTGAAGGAATCCTATCAGCTTGATGTCGCAAGCAAGCATAAATGCGACTTTTCGGAAGGACATTGCAAGCAGCTTGGCTGTTCTGCGGCCCATGCTGGTTGTGTCCCTGTATGCGCCGCCCACGCACTTCTACATCGCCGGCAGTCATGCGAAAGGCTGGGAGTAGGTCGGCCGGGCCGGCACGGGCCGTGACGCTTCGGCTGGTGCATCCATGGCGGAGGTCAGTGGACACGGACCAGATGTAGGTCAGCAGGTCAGCGGACGCAGACAGGTTGCGGCCAGGATACGCGACGGACAAATGCGGGGAGTGAAACACAATCGCCTTCCGTCATCGACATTCCATCGATTGTCTAGGATTACGGGAATTCAATGGTGGTGTGTTTTTTAAAGGCACGCAGAAAGGTGTCCGGTTCTCAGGTTTATTCTTGAAAACGCTTTGCGAGTTCCAGAACCAGGAACAACTCATAGCCTGACTGAAGTTACATCAGGGAAGCTAAAAAAATCGGGACCTTGCGTGGAATCGTGTCAGGGACTGGTGTTGCTTGCACACATTGATACTCTTACAGATCTATGATTGGGAGTTAAGGAAATAGGTATCCATGCTATAACGAAACCAGGACTTCCTAGCAATTGTGTTCAGCTTTTAAATCACATCGTTCACATTTGGTGGACAAGCCTTTTGCAGATTATTGAATTCAGAATGGAGCCTCGGGTTACTAAATGTGTGGTGTTTACTCTCAGAGCCAGGCACCAGGGGTAATCGAATATGAACGCCGAACCCGTGGCAATCAGGTGCGAAGTCTACTTTTCATGAAAAAAGGACCAGGATCAATCATTGATAATCGTGCACATGCCTGCATGCAGAACATTGTAATTTAAACGAGCAAATCGCTAGCTTCCAGGTGGCTAGTCCAGCAATGTAAAAGTAGATCAGTCGCGCGACTTCGCGAAACTCCTCCTGGTTGTTCACCGGCTTGCTCCATTTAAACTTTGCATGAATCACCCGTACAACAATGCGTTGTTACCCTCGTATTATCTACATCAGTGTGCGTAAATCCTCCTCACGAAATTCCCTCAAACCCACTACCTGCCGGTACGACCGTGAGGGGGGGGGGGGGGATCAGTCTCCGGTCGAGAAGACAACAGCAGAGCCTACAGCTGCTTCAACAACATACATGGCGCTAAGCCAGAAATAATTAAAAACAGCCATCAACTGACGGACAACAGCACCATGCCTGCGCTTTACAAACTGTGGCTTCTTCAGACATGTCGTGATCAGGTCTTTTCGGTGCTGAGGCCAGAGTACTGCTCAGGGAGGCTCGCACAGCGTTTTCACCGCGGGGCGGGAGGGGAGCACACGCGTGACTCTACAAGAGGCTGCTGGACTGCGCTGTCAGCTGGGGCGGAACGCTGATCTTCCGCGGACCTACCTCTGACGATAAAACTGAGGTGGAGGCCGGAGCCTGCCACGCTGGGTCATAGCTGGGGGTGCTAGTATAGGCACACATCTTCATATGTTTCATTCCCCACACCACCTGTCCAGGATCGAGGGCTTTTCGGCGCGGCGGGACAGCGAGCAAGCCGGCCAACGTCAGGAACTCCTCCCGCCGAACCAAGCACAACCATTGAGCTCAGATGTGAGTGGGGGCCCACCCGACGCTCCGCCGACCGGCCCGCGTTGTTGACCTTATCTGCGGGGGAAACGGTATGTGTCGCCCGGCCAGGCGGGGTAAGTCGCCGTTTTCCGCCGGAACGGCCGTGGCGGTGGCGTCTTCTTCCCACACGGACCATCACGTCAAAGGGGAACGCCTGCCCTGCGCCGGCCGAGCACGATTGATGGACGCGAGACGCCCGATCACCGGCGAAGCAACATGCCATGTTTTGAACGTGTCTGCTGCTCCGCTCGAGAACCCCGCGACGCCAGTGTCCCTATCACCCCAGCTAGCACCAGGAGCGTCTCGCTGCTGTGGGAACTGGGCTAGGGGGGGGACGCGCAGGGCCTGCCCCAGGCGAGACAGGAAGAGAGCTGGCGGACATTGCGCCTACGCCGGCGACGTAACGCCCAGGATCTGGCCGGGGCACGTTGGGGGCCGGGCCCTGGAAGCAGCGCTGGTCGGCCAGATAACACATTGGACGGAGGGGGCTTTGCGGCAAAACTATTGGACCGTGGGAAAACCGGGGCGGGCCGACCCAGTTGGAAGAATCTTCCAGAGGAGTCGGTCAGGAGTTTCGAGGAGGCGCTGGAGGATGGGGAGTCAACAGGGTAATCCCGAGTGGTGTGTGTCATTGGGGCTTTACGACGCACTCAGCTGCTAAGGCTATATGGCGTCGCCTGCCTCTCACCTTGGCAGGAAGGGTGGGTAACGCGGGAAATCGAACCCCGTACCTCTGGTTTCCCAGACGCGCAGTGGTTGAACGCATAAGCGTTAACCACTACACTACCGGTACCTCCCCCACCCCATCCCGAGTGGGGAACTAGGAGGGAGAGGCCTCCGAGGAGGTCAGTGCTCGGGAGTGTATCAGACGCCTACAGCCGTGCCTCGGGGACGAGACGGCCCCACCGCCCATCACCTGGCGACGACAGCTGGTCCCGCGGACACCGGGACACCGGCGACAACATGCACGCGTGGGTCCACAGGCTGCTGTCTCCCAGTCTTACCGGACCATCGACGGTAGCGCTCTAAGCGCGTCCCTCGACCCCTCGCCACCGGGAGTATGCGGGCCATGGATTCCTGTCCCCCCCCCCCACGTGCAGTTGGGAAAGAAAGGAGGGAACTGGCCGTGCGACGCTCCCGTCTATCCGTTGGTGTGCAGTGCCGTGGGAGAGAACAGGACACAGTCTGTTCTCTTCCGACGTGGTGTGCGCCAGGCTCTATGAGCTCCTGCTGGCGGGATGTTCGGGACGGATAGAGGTCCCGCTATCGACGTTCATCAGAATGGTGACAGGGAGCCGGGCCGCCGAACGGGTCGGTCAGGACGAGTCTGCTGAGCGCGCCGGCCGTGGAGACCGCAAGGCGTGAACGCAGGCTACGCCAGGCGCTCGATGTCTGCCGAGGGGCTCCCACGTCCCATCGGGCGCGCTGTTTTTCTCCGGGCCTCTGAGGGACGCGCCGTGGGGCGGTGCTTTGCAAGGCTCACCCCAGCGGGTGGGAAGCGGGGGCGCAGAAGTGCCAGAAGCGACACCTCGGTGCTGGACGGGGCGCTGCCTGAGGCGCGTGTGCGGCAGCAGAAAGCTGCGAGCGGTGGGCGTTGCAAAAAGAATGGTGGGCCGCCCACTGTGGACGGGGCCGCCCACTGTGGACGGGGCCGCCCACTGTGGACGCTCCCACACGGGGAGCGTCCTCCAAATAGAGAGCCATCACCCTGGAGGTCAGGCGAGGGAACGGGTCATCGTCCATCTCCGGACACTTGATGCCGGTCCAGTAGCCGCGTTGGTGCCAAGTTGATAAATTAACCCGATATGTTTTGAAAAGGGCATGCACGTGGGTTCACTAGGAGTTGAAATGTACTAAACTGCTTTAATTTAACTTAACGAGGACTTGCGCTAACGTACCAATGATATCGCCAAGGCGTTGGATAACACAGGGGGGGAGGGTCCTGTCCTAATGCGAGCCAAGAATGAGTCGGGTGACGTGGGCGCCAACAGATGCGTATGTTCGGAGTGAGTGTAGCAGGGCGCCGAATACATGAAGACTGTGTGGATTAGTAAGGTCGAAGGGGGCTCCCAGGGTGTTATCCAGCGGGCCCTTGCCAATGTAATTCGCCGGTTGCGTGGGACCCCTGCTAATTTGGACGTATCATCAATGCATCTGTTTCCGTTTCTGCCCCCTTTAAACATCATCATCAGCTAAAGGGTCGAAGGGTGTCCTCGTTAAGGGTGAAGTCCTCGTCACCGTGGCTAAGGGTGCACAGCCATGTACGGTGGAGACAGCTGTTCGTGGTGCCTGACAGGACCTACCACCCCGCCAATGCCCCGGTCATCCGCCTCATCCCAGGTCTGTGGCTCACATGAGTGTGTGTTGAGGTCGGGTGTTTGTTTATTTGTTTATTTAGAACATAAGCATTCCACAAGCAAAAGCCCAATTACGGAAGCAATGCAGTTTCAACAGCAACAGATATACGATACAAACACAAACAGAAAACCCAACCAAACACACACGCACACACACACACACACACACACACACCACACACACACACACACCACACACACACACACACACACACACACACACACACCACACACACACACACACACACACACGCACACACACACACATACCACACACACACACACACACACACACACACACACACACACACACACACACACACACACACACACACACACACACACACACACACACCACACACACACACACACACACACACACGCACACACACAACTACACATTACACACAGTCACACATCAAGTCATCAAGAAAATGTGCCACGTCTGACGGCGAACCTAAATAAATCAGATCGGAATGATTTTGTTGGATGATACAACTCAGTCAAGGAAGAATGCTGCAAAATGTGATTGCAGACAGCGGATAGTCGTGAAACAAATCCCTTTTTAACAGTGTTGACCTTTGCAAATGGCTTGTGGAAAAAGCTGGTATGCCGAGAGCACCGGACGGGTGTAGCCAGACTGAACAGTGATGTCAGGTGAGCACAGTCAAACCTGTGATGATATGCGTTGTAAAGAAATAAGATGTCATACTGAGCAAGAGCTTGCCTTGATAGATGCTGTTTTTAAGAAAGCGAGAAGATACTCATAATCCAGTGGAGGACACCGAGACTGGCTACTCGAACCCATCCACATGAGAAAGCGGTGATGTAGTCTTTCAAACCTGGTGAGATGGGAAACGGCAGCACTGCTCCAAATAACACTACCGTTCTCTATCAATGATCTCAATTGGGTGTTGAACGCACAAAGCAAAACCTTGCGATTGAACCGCACCTGAAGAGGGCACAACGGCATTTGCACGCTACGCATGAGAAGGCCCGACATCCTGTTTGCTTTTGGGACAGCTGGATCTATGAGATTGGCAAAGGTGAGCTTGGTGTCCCAGCAAGACGCCAAGATCACGAATCTGCTGGCAGCTAGTCCAAGCGGTGACCGCCTAGTGCGTATGAGTACTGAACGGGTGACGTGCAGAGGGTGGATGAGATGGTATTGCATTTAGCTGGGTTCAGTTTCAGTCCCTACTTTTTGGACCATTCCCAGAGGCGATCCAAATCCACCTGAAGTGTGAGACAATCTGCACACATTGTCGACTCTGTGATAAATGTTCACATGATCAGCGTACATAACGCACCCACTCTCAGTTTGGACAAGAACATCAGCCAGAAAGCAGGCGAACAGCAACGGTCCCAGGATGTTGCCTTCCGGGACACCAGATCGTATTGGAATCCAGGCAGACTGCTCGCCGTTCAGCACTACGCGTTGTGAACGATTGCTCAAGTACGACTCCAGCCAGCTGCACGCGCAGCCAGTGATGCAAAAAGAATAGCGAAGCTTATGTAGCGGAAGACGGTTATTCACGACGGTGAATGGTGAAGAGTAATCGGGGTAAATTGCATCCGTTTGTTTGCCTTTTGAAATAGTGTACCTGAGTCACAACGTGCCGAGTCATGCGCATACATCATGCTCGTATGCTGACCAATGGGCTCCTAGGTATGAATTCGCTCTTGTGGGGAGGCGTGACAGCGGCAGCCGGCGACGCGTTAACATCCAGCGCCGGCCCGGCGGCAGCGTAGCGCACCCCGCCCCAGCACTTCCCCCCCCCCCCCCCCACACACACACTGGTGATTGTTCTGAGTAATTCTCGCGAAGAAGCCATCGTTCGCGGATGTGTTGGCTGCGTAGGTAAGACAGTAGTTTTAGCCTTATTCCTCGGAGAAAAACCAGGAGAATGAGGATGCAGTTGGGTTGATATTTCGGCAACATGCCTTTATCGAAACAATAGCTGAAGTGAGTTCAAAATTGCCTGCTGACGATCCTACTCGATTTTTCAGTTTTTTAAAGCAAGCCACAATCTTTACAGGACACCAACATTCAGGGGATTAAACAAAGAGCTATTATCAGTCATTACCACGATGCAGTGCCTATCTAAGAAGCATAAATATTTAAATGAATGGAATAGAATAGAATGCAAATATAGAATATAATAAGAATAGAAAAATATCGAACAGAATGCGCGAACATACGTGTATTTGCAAACGAATTCAAGCAAGTAGTCATCACGCATCACACTTCATTCAAACATGCAAGCCAGTTGAAGTAAACAGGCATCACACTACGCGCCACAATTATACATGCAAACGATTTCAATTGGGCAGGCATCGCATATAACGCGTCAGGTGCCACTTACACGTGTACACGATTTTAAGTTAGCACATATCACACATAAAGACACATAATCACGTTCACGTTAAAACACATAATCACGACACATAATCACGTTCGCATAAGCGGCCATGATGAGCCCTGCATCTTAAGATTTGGTCGCCAACTTTTTATAAGAACAGATTCACTTATTTTCCTTCTGGGTGGTCCTTGCTCTGTAGATGACTTTAAGCTCTGAGGGGAATAGGGTCCATACTTTCCTCGATTTCAGGGAAGCATGTGCCTACTGTCTTGTCTTTTCAGGTGCCTACTGCCTTATCTATGTGAATAATGTTCCTCGCTAATGCGCTGAACAGCTTACGATATGTTGGCTGCATGATGCATGTACAAAATTAACGATTCTGACTACATCGTTCCATCAGCACTCCTGCGCGGTGTCTACCTGGGATTACAACGGCACGATTGTTGTGTAGGACAGAAGAGGCGAGTGCTGCTGACGGTGCAGCACGCCGGCCATCACAGTTGGTAATGATGACGCACTGGCCGTCACAGTTGGTGATGATGACGCACTGGCCGTCACAGTTGGTGGTGATGACGAACTGGTCATCTCTGTTGGTGATGATGACGCACAGGCCATCACAGTTGGTGATGATGACGCACCGGCCGTCACGATTGGTGATGATGATGCACGGCCGTCACAATTGGTGGTGATGACGCACTGGCCATCAAAGTTGGTGATTATGATGCACAGGCTATTACAGCTGGTGATGATGACGCATAGGCTATCACCGTTGGTGATGATGACGCACCGGCCGTCACGATTGGTGATGATGACGCACTGGCTATCACAATTGGTGGTAATGATGCACTGGCCGTCACAGGTGGCGGTGGTTATGCACCAGTCGTCACAGTTGGTGATAAGACACTGGTTGTCATAGTTAGCGGTGGTTACACACCAGTCGTCGCAGTTGGTGATGATGAAGCACCAGTTGTCACACTTGGTGGTGGCTACGCACCAGTCGTTAAAGAATGTGATGATGGAGCACCTGTCCCTACAGTGACGGTGGTGACGTTCCGTGGCTGTCACAGCTGACGTAGACAATGAGGCGGACGGCCTCCACGTCGGCATTTACGTCAATGTTGAGGATCGTCTGTCACATCGGACAATGGTGACGCGAGCCCATCACCGTCATCAGCCCCCCGGCCACCACGGTATTCGTCATAACGGTCACGTGGCGGTGGCACTGGCCAGAACACCTGATGCCAGTGACGGATGCGTCGTTATGACAGTGATGAACGGGCCATTATAGACACTTCGGGTGGCCGATGGTTGATTGAAATGAACTATCGCACCAGTGGATATTGTAATATTCAGTCGTGTACGGCTCCGCTGGCTGGCGGGCGCATGGCGTCGCGTGGCCGTCTAGCCGGGTGCGCGGCTGGTCACAGCCCGCCGGGGGCGCGTCCGCCGGCGCAGTATCACCGGCCGCGGAGGCCGCAAGCCCTCCACGCGGTGGGAACCGAGCTAGCCGGGGGCCGGGTCGCGGCCGCTATGCGCCGACACGCCACGAGAGCGGTCCGCACGCGTACCTTGATCGCGTGCGTCATCAGTGTCTGGCGTGCGCCGTCTCATTCACCGAGCGTGCGGCCAATACAACATCTCGTCTCGGAGCAAGTTCTTCATGGAGATATATCGCGGGTGACCGATGGCAATGGATGGTGCATATTTTGATTGTCGTGACAGGATGTGCGAGATGCACATGAAGGGAAACATATTGCTAAGTAGCATTGATTTTGGTGCTGGAACCAGTGTGCTATTTTCAAGCGATCATGTTCTTGCACAGGATATGCAGGACTGATGTTACCGAGTCTCGCCGCTGGATTTTGTACCAACAGGAAGACCTGATCGGACCTTGAGCACGCCCCGCCATGGTATGTTGTGCCTGCCCAATATCCGCGGCTCTGCGGCTGGTAAGAGGATATTATTTATCGGGATACTTTGCAGCTAATCAATAGATGACGAATACTTCCCTGCGGAAATGACGGATACCACTGGACCACACTTTAAAGGGAGTGTCTTGTCCTTTCGGTTAAAAAAAAAAATACACCCCTGCAGGTATTTTGACCGGCTGCTGATGTTTGCAGCGGTGGAAAGTCCATTTGAGACTTCTAACAATGATAACTCAATAAAATTATTTTCTCATCCATGATTTTGATGACTATGCGCTGCGCGGGTACGAACACAACTCTTTTAGGGGGGGAATTGCACCAATCAACGGGACGGAAACGACCATTACGCGTAGCGAATCATGGTGCATCCGATGCAACCAAAAACCACACAAAAAAATCATCTTCCATAGCCTGTTCACCATAGGCAAAATAGGCCAACATAGGTCGTTGCTTCGGCGCCGAGTTTCTTCACTCCACCGGCGGCAAATAGCATCAAATAACATCGCAGCAATGAGAAAAATGACAGCACGGGCTCCCCCTTATTAGGAAAAAGACGCGACTGTGTTACATTTGTCTAAGCTCCTGGGGGCACCGCAGTGATGTGTTGTCCTTCCCTTAACGAAGTCCTGAATCCGTCCTTGATAATCTGCCATTTGAATATGCTAATGCCATAACACTTTGATGCATTATACCTGTGAACACCACAATAAGTACTTAACGACAGCATCGTGTGTGCTAAGCTCTGCAGCCATATGCGATGTGAAAATGTTGCACGGTGATTTGCCAATCTCTAACATGAGGAAGATATGCTTTCATCCCAGCGAACATATTTATTGTGTATTCATTACTTGCTCTTCCAACTGGCTATCACTGACTCACTAGCCTGTGAATCGTGCCTTACATTGTCAATATGGGTTAATGCATAGAGCTGGTGTACCCGCCAGAGAGGCAGGGGTCCTCCTGACACCTATTGTATGTCGCCCCTCTCTCCCGCCCCTGGTGGTGGTGGTGACGTTCGTACTATATATCACAACATATATCTTGCCCACTGGTTTCCTGCCGTTCTGGCGCTGCCGTCCCACGCCCCCCCCCCCCCCCCCTCGCCACAAATATTCAATCCCGGCTATGTTTTTTGTTACCGCTCATGTCTCAAGCTGGAGCTGAGTTCGAAGATTGCTCACATCCTGCTTCTAACAGCTGGCTGTTGAGTTTTCCTCAGATGCGGTTGCCGTGTGGACACCTCGGTGCTGTGCACTGGCCTGTCTCAAATTGTGGACAGCAATCGGCAGCCGAGGCTAATGGCCTGGCCGGCAGACCGCTTCACCGTGGAGGGCGGAGGAGATGACAGTGGCGGAGGTGCAGTGGATGGTGGCTACCGTTCTGCGGTAGGTGGTGTCGTACACATTCTTTGCTCAGCCACTGGGCCGGGGCGAGCGCTACCCGGCCAACGTCTTCCTGCAACACGTTGTGCTGCAGGTGCGTGATTGCGATGCCGTGCCCAGGTCGTGCTTGGCTCTGGCCAAAAGGCGGGACAGAGAGGAGGATGACGCAAAGGAGCTTGCCGGTCGGTGGTGACGACACGCAGGCTCAGTGAATTCGTGTGGCACTGAAAAGCCGTTAAACGTTGACGCGAACTTGTGTTATGGCTGATTTGAAAACCTGGTCTCACACATACGTCGATGGAGATGAGTCGTGCTGCTGTGGGATGTGTCCTTCTGCTGTGGAGCATGCTCTATCGTTCTGCTGTGTGATGTGTCGTTCCGCTGGGGAACATGCTCTATCGGTCTGATTGAGACGCCTCGTTCTTCTGTGCTGTGTTATGACTACTCGAGTTGCTTGTAACGCTGATCTGGAAGTTTTTTTTCTGTCTTCAGCGTGTGTCAATGGAAATGCATCGTTTTGCCGTAAAATGCGTTGCTCTGCTCTGGGATGCGTTATTCTGCTATTGGTGCGTCATGCAGCTGTGGAGCGCGTCGTTCCGCCGTGCTGTGTTCCGACGACACTGATATTGCGCTTGTAACGGGTCTCCGACGTTCGTCGATGGAGACGGGTCGTCTTGCTGCGGGACGCGTACATTCGCCGGGATGTGTCGTCCTGCTGTTCCCATGCGGATGCGCCAGTTTTTTGGGTCACGTTATGACTACACGCGTTTGTGTTGTTACGCTGATCTTGATGTTTTTGTTTTTGTCTCTGATGGGCGTCGATGGAGATGCAGAAATGTATCGCATGATCTTATATTGCAAGTTAACCAACATAAGCGACTGAAAAGGGGTGAGACCCTTGAAAGTGCCCAGAGAATGACATTTTACGAGGACCTTAGGGCGGTCTTTTGGTCTCGGTACATTCTTCTATCTCGACCGAGAATGCTCGGGAGGTCGATCATGGAGATGAGATTCTCACGCGAGATAATTTGCATCGACGCTAACAGCCTTACAAAAAAGAACGGCCCGAATAAAAAAGGCCTCCTCCAAAGTTATCTTCAAGTGTGGCTCTCTGCAGAGAGAAAGATTGACCCCCACCCCCCACCCCACCCCCCCTATACCCTCTGAAAACTTCAGACGGGCTTGTCACTTTTCAGTGTATTGCTTTCATTTTTCCGCCATGGCTAATAATGATGTTCTTCTTCCAGTTTTTCAAGATTCTCTATCCACCGCCAATATCAAGAATGGCATGAGTAGTGGCCTCTACAATCATCTCAGTCGTGATGTTAAAATGTACAAGAGTGTACAAGACTAAAATGTTTTAATCAATTGAAACAAAATGTGGTATAGAGCTATTCTACCATTTGGTTTCAAATTACGTAAGTTGTTTAGGGCACTTGCGAGGAACTTGATACACATAGACTGAGATGACATTGCTGGGCTTATTCCCTCGTCAAATGACCGGGAGAAAGGAGAAATGGACGCAGTGATATTTTAGGAATATTCCTTTATCAAAATGCATATGAGTAGTACGCTCAGAATTCGCAAATTGCTGGCCGATCACACTCGCATGTTTCATTTTTTCCGTAAGGAGCCAAAATTTTTACAAGTCACCAACATTCATGGAATTAGACAAGTAATAGCTACTTACCATTAAAACAATACAGTGTCACCGACTAACTATGAAAAAGTACAGCAAAAATTTAGCTACGAAGAACGATTAGCTACCTCAACGTAGCTAGTCAGCTTATCACGGCATGATCACAACCAACAGCAGCCCACAGCCTTGCAATGGACCTAACGCATCACCGCGTGGCGTGCCTTCGAGCCCATCTGTATCAAATGGAACGACGCGTCAAAACGCTGTGCAACTTATCAAGTCCGTCGTAAGATGCTGCGGCCAGCCACGATCCTTACGACTAGTAATAAGCCTAGTTGTTTGGTACACACTGTTTAGTATGTGAAGTGAGCCTTGGCTGAAAAAAATCTGTAAATAGCACTGATCTGAGGGGCATTGGAAAAGTACTGTGTCACCGCTGATTTGTGAGATCATCACTGGTGTGGTATAGTTTGCAGTATATTTCATGTCCCTGCTAAAAGCTATCCTGATTAAAGCTTCTATGTTTGGTGGCATGTTATGGCTCAAGTTGCCCATACAGCAAAGCGTCAGCGTTTCGACATGCGTTCTACACATGCTTACACTGCAAGTGTTAACGAGCACAGACCAATACTAAACTTTGAGCTTCGTTTAGCTGGGAAAGTAAGCTGCGATATGGTCTGGTCTACTGAAAGTTGTTTGCACTTTCGCAACTGTGTCACCAACCGGTTCGCAAAAGTGACCGTTTTTCACCGATTGTATCCGGTAAATCAGAAGTTATTCACCCCTGGCGCGCCTACCGGCGACCTGGCCGGCCTGAACGCTCGTTTGCGGTAGAGCCATGCACCCGCAAAGTGCACCCGATCTGCAGCGCCATCGCGCCGCTGAAGTGTGCGCCGGTGCAGCGCCGGTGAGGCTGCCAGCCATCCATCCTGGCCGGAGCGGCGCCTCACCCGGTCATTCGTCACCGGCGGCACCTATTAGCCGGCCCGTTCGGCGGCCGGTAGTGGCCGCTGGGGGCCTGTTCGCAGGGGCCGGGGGTGGCGACGGCCAGATTACACCGGCCACAGGGCGACGCCAGCCGACGATCGGCGCTCACTTGACACGCGGTTATCCCCCGGCTGTGACCTGACGAGGGTGAGCCGCCGGCTGTGACCTGACGAGGGCGAGCCGCCGGCTGTGACCTGACGAGGGTGAGCCGCCGGCTGTGACCTGACGAGGACGAGCCCCCGGCTGTGACCTGACGAGGGCGAGCTGCCGGCTGTGACCTGACGAGGGTGAGCCCGGCTGTGACCTGACGAGGGCGAGCCCCCGGCTGTGACCTGACGAGGGTGAGCCCCCGGCTGTGACCTGACGAGGGTGAGCCGCCGGCTGTGACCTGACCAGGGTGAGCCGCCAGCTGTGACCTGACGAGGGCGAGCCGCCAGCTGGACCTGAAGAGGGCGAGCCGCCAGCTGTGACCTGACGAGGGCGAGCTGCCGGCTGTGACCTGACGAGGGCGAGCTGCAGGCTTTGACCTGACGAGGGCGAGCTGCCGGCTGTGACCTGCCGACGGGCGGGGCCGGGACGGCGGGGAATCGAGACCGGTGCTGCAGGTGTGTGGCCAGCACGGCACCGAGACACGGTGTTTGAGCCATCAGCAAGCTTTCTGGATACACATCAATTCGGCACAGAACAGACAGGCATATTCGCATGGCCTATGGGTAAATTCATGGGAGCAAAGTCGAAGCTTTCTCTCAGCGGTAAATCTGTTGGATGTTGGACTGTCTTTTGGATGCCTGCATGCTGATGTTTTTGTCAGCGGATTTTTCAACGTGCTATAGAAGCAAATTTGTAAAAGAATTGGCCCGGCATACAACATCAGATGCCATCAATCTGTTGCATATGTAGTGCTTTTACGGAATCTGAAATAGTACTTAAGTCACGGCTGTCTCTTACTTAATCAGATGTTATCCCTTGGCTACATTTGCAGTACTTTTGCAACATCGCATTTGTCACACGTTTGCTGTGCACGCCAACACGTGCATCGGCTTTGTAAAACCTGCTGGCATAAAAGCATGAGCAATGAAAGTATAAAAAACAAGGCTCGAGGCTGCTTGGAAAACTTTCTTTTTTGACGTCAGTCGAGGCAGCAGTAATGATGCATTCATTCTTCTACCATTTGCACATTTTCTGGGTGCTTCTTTTCTTTTTTCCATCTACACATTTCCTTTCTTTATCTCTCTTTCTGTTACTTTCTTCTCACCCCCCTCAGCCCCCCCCCCCCTCTCTCTCTCTCTCTCTCTCTCTCTCTCTCTCTCTCTCTCTCTCTCTCTCTCTCTCTCTCTCTCTCTCTCTCTCTCT